ATTGGGGAAGAAGAAACGGAGAGGGAAGAAGAAATTGGGGTGGGGGAATCGCAGGTAAGGAATGAGTAAGAAACCCGGGTATAAGTCGGGGAATGGGAAAAGTTTGAAACGGGTAATCAAAAACTTAAAATCAGGGTAAGGGAATGAAATTTTTTTTAAAAGAAACCACAACTAAGGGAATGAGGGAATCCCATTCCGTTTCCCCATTCCATTACCCCCGAACCAAACGCCCCCTTAATTTGTATTGCATATTGATACAATGAAATAAAATTTTGAAAGTTCTCAAGAATATAAATATAATGAAATTGTTTTTATACTAAGATACATGTCATTTTTTATTTAATTAAGGTCCAAAATTTGTCAAGTTTGACTCAAAATAGTCAAACTAGACAAATACACCATGACGGCTAAGTATTACATAAAATGTGTTAATGTTGTATTCTGTGAATTTTAGTGCACGAATTTCTAAATCATCTCATGCACAATATTGTACATTATGATTACATAAAGACACATTAATTGAAATGCAATTATATATACATAAGAAAAAATTTTGTTTTGCGTCAAATATACATTAAGTTTATGTTAGATGCATACGCAAGGAGCAGAACTTCTCGTTTTACAGACAAGCTACATAATCGATTATTACTTTTGATAATCGATTATTAGACGGCTCGGCTTTTCGGGACAGATTTTCAGAAAGACCAAATAATCGATTGTTTTAAAAAAATATATATACTCCCTCTTTCTGGGCTTAGTTGTTCACTTTCTTGTTTTTGTTTGTCCCAGATTATTTGTCAATTTTCCATATTAAATAAAGAAATTATGATGAATTGTAGGGTTTGAGCAACTAATCTGTGATAAACTCATTTGAAAGATTTCTTTGACATTTTAAATTGATTTCTTAAGAATGACATTTTAACATTGGTCTCACAGGCACTCCCTAGCCAGCCCTCCACCACTCGCCTAACACCTAGTGCTTTCTATAGGATTGGTCTCACCTGTTTTCAAAAGTTCTTTTGTAGGTTATATCAGGGTGATTGCTCTAACTAGCCATGGCTAATGGGTGCAGGTATAACTGCAGCTTCGGGAATAGCAGCAGAGCTGGGAATCCCATTGACACACCGTGGTGTCTCTAACAGCGTTAGATTTCTGACAGGCCATTCAAGAAAAGGAGGAACGGACCCTCTATTTGTGGCAGAGAATGCCGCCGACCCGGATTCCACCTTGGTTGTTTACATGGGATTGTCAACTCTTCCTTCTCTTGCCTCAAAGTTGATGCATCATGGCCTGCCGCCTGATACTCCAGCTGCTGCTGTTGAACGTGGGACCACCCCACAACAACGTAGTGTATGTGATCCATTTATTTAAATTATCTTTTCTCTAGGGTCCGTCCAAACCAGCCAGGGAAGAGGTAAATTAGATCGAATTTGTCCTACAAGTATTAGGAAGATATTTGAACAAAAACATACTTTCGAAAAAAATTCTATCCTACAGGATTAATGTAAATCCACTGCGAGTTAATGAACATATGAGTTTCCTTTGAGTGCAATAGAATAAATCATGTGTGCTTACTAATCACATAATCTTCTATTTAATGAGCAATTTGTTTCTTATCAGTGAACACATAAGTCTCCTTTGAGAAATGATTGCATCATATTCTTGTATGGACAATAGAATAACTCTACTTTTGAACTGTTTTCTTTCTTGAGAAATGTAAAGCTTATTGCATTGTTTTTTTCTTTCTTTCTTTTTAATTCATTCAGGTATTTGCCGAGCTGAGCAATCTAGCAGATGCAATCACTTCACATCAACTAGTATCGCCAACTTTGATCATCATTGGGAAGGTGGTTGCACTTTCACCATTGTGGCCACATTCTACTGAATCCGGGGCTCCAATCTTGGTCGAGGCCAAATTGCAGGCCAAATAAGTGTCGCTTCCTGTCCTGAAACTTCACCGTTTGGGCACTTTGGGACGTCCTCCCACCACTCAAATCCTTGTGGAAAATATGGTGTTTTTACGTTCCCGACCCTGTGTAAGTACATGTCCCTGTCTCAGTGCAACTTAGCTTTTAAGCTACTTGCCATTCTTTTGGAGAGCTAGTTGAACATATTCTTTGGCCTTGTTTGTTATGTGTGTAGAAATGGATAGATAAATTTTGATGGTGGGATACTGGCTGTTTATTCACATTACAATCTAGATGAGCAAGAGGGTAGTTAATAACTTTGGTGTACTATACAGGAAGTCCAATGGTTTTATGGGTCTAGCATCCTGTGGGCTGAAAGGCTTGGGCTAGTTATATGGATTATGGACCATATGCATAGTCCCGTTGCTGTAGCTCACTCAAGCCCGATTTATTTGGCCCAACAAGGCCCATCCCCCAGGCTTTATATTCCATGAAGAATTTCAAGTGGCAGAGTAACTCTCAAAGCATTGAATTATGTACCCTGTGTCATTGTGTCTTTTTTATCATTTATGTCTAAGAGACTATGTTGTCTCATTCTAGATTTGTTACGGAGTATATATTTGTGTCGTTCAAAATCAATCCCTATTTAATATATACGAGTAACAACAAATCCATATCACCTCCTCAACAAACTTCATCTTCATCGTTATCATCTTTATCAGTCAGGATTCTAATTTTCCACTGTTGTTGCAAGTCTCAGTCCCAATAACCCAGACCGATTAGTTTCTTCCTCAACGCAGCTAGGGTTTCGAAAGTGACTAGTTGAACGGTGGAGCTTGGATGCAGGGGTTGGCTCGAAAATGTGAAAAATGAGATTGGCCCTTAGGGAAATTTACATGTGGGGCCCTATTTTGTTTTTTCTAGAGTACTTATGTTTTAAAATTAGTTCTAAATTTGGTCATTAATAATTGTTTTTATAAAAATTTGAATATTAAAATATAAGTTCATTTAAAATTTGAAAAAAAAAACAAATAATCCCAAAACGATATGGAGGAACCCAGCGGGAGTTTCACTCTTGGAGTTTGCCAGAGCAAGTGATATGGTGGTTGCTAACTCTTGTTTCCCAAAACGAGACGTTCATTTGGCTACATTTGTTAGTGGAGTGGGGACGACTCAGATCGACTATCTTCTCCTGCGCAGGTGTGATCGGGTGCTCTGCAAGGATGCTAAAGTAGTCCCGAGTGAAAACATCACTACCCAACACAAGCTTCTGGTGATGGATGTCATGATTAGATGGGTGAAACATAGGAGAGCTTCGAGTGGCAACACACAAATCCGGTGGAGGAGACTAAGTGAGGAAAATATCTCTGAGTTGATCACGCGAGTGCAGGAGAAAGGTGCGTGGGAATCGGACGGAGAGGCTACAGATATGTGGACGCGGACTGCTAACTGCATCAGGGAAACAGCCAGGGAAGTGTTAGGTGTGAGCTCTGGCTCTGGGAGTAGGCGTCAGGGTGATTGGTGGTGGAGCGATTCAGTCCGAAGTAAGGTGGAAGCTAAGAAGGTGGCATATTTGAGGTACATGGGCTGCAATGTTGAGGA